AAAATCGGGTTATTTAGTCAGTTTTCGAGGTTTACTTGAATTTTGCACATTTTTTTCTCAGAAACTTGTGATAGTTATATGATCTATGAGATGACAAATTGTATTTTCGTGTCATATGAACGGTGAGGTATACATAAGGCATTCATTTTACAAATTGTTAAAGTGATTTTCAAGTACTAGTTAGTATCATAAAAGATCCGGAACCACTAGCATGGTTGTAAAAAGTATTGAACTTTGCGAGCGCTTATCTGGGTACTGCAACACTACGCTAGGTTAGTATACTTACTCGCACCGTAAAGCAAACATGCAAATATCAATCGATATTGTTCTGTGTATAAAATAGATAGTGACGTTGAGTATTTGCCTTTGTATTAATTTTATTATTTGGTGTATATTTATCTCGGTGTTACCAAGTCATATGATTATCAACTCAAGCTTAACCGTGTATCCAATTTCACTATAAGCTATAATATGGCAAGGTATAAGCATACATAGAACCCATATAGGTGATTAGCATTCATTCCCACTACGCTATTACGATGAACTGGTAAGATGAAGTGGTAAGCAGCGTTCACAAAAGGTATCTATCACCTTCATATATGCCATCTGGGGGCATAATAATCACTGTCAGATTTCATCGTGTTTTAAACAGTTTGTCCGATAATTAGACATTCTCCGAACGTAATATTGTGATTTTCCTAAATTTACTAAGTTTATGGCTCGCTCCTGGGGCTGGTAGCTGACAGTCACTATTTACCACTTGGCACGGACGGCACCTCAAGACGAGGCTCAGACCCTCAGGCGGCTAGGCCTCGTCAGACACCATCGGCCCATCGCTCATCAGTCATCAGTCATCACTGCAATCAATCTGCATTTAATGATGAATATTATAAAATATTTACCCCATACTATAGAGAAGGCGAACACGATTTGAACAATAAGAGACAGTTGGAAAATCATAAACGAGGTAAATATGCACACCTCATTATCCGAATAGTTCATCACGTTTGCGGTATATCCTGTTATGCGCTGCTACAGTTATAAGCCCATGCAAACAAGCGCACTGTGTAATCCGCAATGCCGGACTCCATAGAGCCGGATGCTCCCATAGCAGACGTGGTAGTAAACGAAGACGTACATCAAGACAAAGACACGCGGGTACAAGCATACGAGCCCATGGATGAAGATATAAACATAAAGGAGAATCTCGCAGATATTACAGAGAATGTGAGCGCAGTTGGTGCATCCATATTGGCAACGCTATCCCCGAGTAGTGGGCGTATCAGTACGGATGCACGTGGCCATACGCTCACGGACTCACAAGTGGGTGACATACCAGACGTGGTGGTGGTCGGTACATCTGCGGTGACCAGTGCGGCTGGTTATCCCAGGTCTACTGACCACTCAAGATCAAACATCGATGACCTATCATATAGGCAGAATGTTAATCGTAACATAGCCATTGGAGCGGATACAGGGGGTATTAGAAGACCCTCAGCAGACCCGGAAGTTCGAACAAATATGAAATTCGTTCGCTCTGGTAGTGGGAGGGCTATATCGGAACATCATACTAGTATGAGCAATTCTATCGGTAACCAGAGCAATAACAAGCGTAGCGATATGCGTATACCTAGAGATTACCTTCCGAGTGGATGTGTGAAGTTCATGACCGTGGAATTAGATGAAGCCAACGTTCTGATGGTAAGTTATGTGGGCGTGTGTCGGTATCTGCTACATTCTGGAGAGTGTTGGGATCAATTCGGGAGATGAACCAGCATAATTGAATATATGCGATTCTTTATATCCGTTATTCAAAGCGAGGAAATATATGAGCTATATCAGTAAACATATTTGTAGAGTTACATCGTAACCTTATAGAAGGTATAAGCAGATGGTATAATAGTTATATATATATATCATATTTACACACACACACACACACACAAACATATATATACACACACACAAAAACATATACACACACACACA